TATTAGCGAGCTGAAAAAATTCAAACCCGATCCGACCCACCACGGGTTGTTGGGTTAAACGGGTTGATTCACTAGCTCACTTACTTATAAGTTTTTTTAAAATAAAAAATTATATTTTTTTTAATTCAAATCAAATAAATTTCACTCTAAAATAATGTTAAACTCCAAAGACAATTCATAATAAAAAAAATATCATGCAATCCATGCGTAATCCAAAAATAAGCACAAAAGGTAAGTTTTTAATATTTATAATTTTTCTATCACTTGTCTATTTATAATATTAGAAACTTGAATAGATAAATCTATAATATTTTTCTTTTATGAAATATCTTTTTGTTTAATCCTCATCTACAATATAATAAAAAAATGCTAACTAATAATATTGAAACACAAAGTAATAAATAATTAAATTAAATTAGGTGGGTTGGTGAGCAATCTGGCAACCCAGATGAACCCGATTCTAAGTGAACCGGGTTAAAAACTAACTCGCATAAAAAAATTACATTTTTTTCAAACCCAACCCAGCTGAAACTCGTGGTGAGTCGAGTTGACTCGCAAGTTACAGTCCATTTTTACCGCAAATGTAATATATGAATATAACATATATCATCACTTACAAATGTAATGTTTTAATATGTGCATGTTTACTTTTTATATTATATCAGGTGACTTAAATGTTTAAATATAGATTATTTTATTCTTCTTCTTAATAATTATGTATGGTGATTTTATTTTTAATGGATTGTTTTTACTTAATATTTGAATCTTAATATTGTGTACCAAATTTTAGTAATCATTATTATATATTATCCAATTTTATTTTATTTCAATTATTTCTTTTATTTTAATAATGTATAAATTTGTCGTTTAATTGATGAAAATTTGTATCTAACTTAATTATTGTATTTAAAATACCATATTACAATAATTTTAATTAATTTGTTTATCATTGTTTTGTAATATAATGTATAAATGTGATCTCTTCCTTTGTATCTCTATATATCTTTAAAAATATATCTAATTTAATTCAAAAATATAATATCTTATTATTTAAATTTATTATGTAATTAAAATTATTAGTCTTCAATGAAATTATATATATATATATATATATATATATATGAATAAGACATATGGTTAAATAATATATATAAAAGTTTAATAAAAGAATCAACTAATTTGAAATAAATTTGATATCTATTTTATATTTTTATTATAGTATTTTTAATTTTTATCAACTAATTTATATATATATATATATATATCTTTTAATTTATATAATTTTTTAATTGCACAATGCAGCATCCCATAGTAACACATTATAAAATAGGTAAAACAAAACAAATTTTCTTAAAATATATATAAAATCAATACAATTATCTTCAAAAGTAAATAATTGTAAAAAATAAAAATGTATATAAAACAACTAAGAATGACTTAAAACTTTAGAAAATTTTTATACATAATAACTATTACAAACTTAAGAAAAATTACTTCGTGACATCATCACCTTCCACTATGGACTCATAAACACTTATCACTCATCACAAAAGAGACAAACAAACACAAGAAAGCACAAAAGTTAAACATATAAACTAATATGCAAAAAAGTTACCCTAAGACAATTAAACCATATAAACTATAAGCTAAACATGGATTAAATACAATAAATCATATACATACACATAAATAGTTGAAACTAGACTTGATTATCCAAATACCCTTGATAGCGAAACTCACGAGGTACATACCTGTTGTGCTTTCTATGTTATGTAAAACCTAGCCTCAAGGGGTTACCACTCGACCACACACAAGGTTAATCTCTTACGATCAAACATTGTCCATAGACTATAACCTTTCGCTACTCTTCACGATGTAACACATTCTACTATATTTGAGTATGAATTGTTATTAGAGCATTAGGATACCCTTTCATGAAATCCCACATGTCAAGGCATACACTACAGTTATCACCACAAGGAATTTCTTCTTGAAATTCCTTCAATACCATCACCATACGTGTTTAATATCATATTATCACTTTAATCAAACACAATAATAACCATAAACATATATAAAGTCTATTATAAATCTATCTCAAACAATCATAAAATAAAATAGATCCAACATACAAACTGGCGCAATGTCAAACCTTTCACAAAAAGTGTTGTTTAATGACAATTCTAATGCTCAGTGTCATTCTTAACGTTATGCTGAATGTCCTGGAACTAAATTACTCCAAATCCTGCAGTGCAAAGATGGTGCTCAGCGACACCTAGCGCCACTTAACATCAAACCATTCGCAAAAAGTGATGTTGAGCAGTATAGTCTGACGCTTAGTGCCCTAGATGTCCGAGGCCTACAACACAAACTGGCGCTCAGCACCACTTTGATATCGCTCAACGCCACTCTGATACCGCTCAACGTCATATCAGTTGACAGTAAATATATTTTGTGATTTTAAGTGAACTTGGACTTGATCAATTGCTCATATTGGTACTCCTTTTTCAATTAATTGATTCAAAACAATTTTTACACATTAAAACGCATATCAATTTGCTCAAATGCTTAGATTCAAAGTTCTCTCAATCACACAAATAAACAAAAATCATGAACCAATCTATCAACCATGCAAGCCAAAAGGGTGATAATCACCACAAATCAAATTCATCAAAAGTAAACAAAGTTCGTTCTTAACATAAAAATCAACCATCAACATACATTCATCGATTTAGCAAAAACACTACAAGAGAATTAAATACTAGTTTCTCTTACATTGACAAAGTTACTCAACAAACCCTAAAGAGCCAAGACATTGAATTTTGTAGAATTAAATGTTAAGTTATCATCACTAGTCATTCTCCTTGTGTGAATGACCCTCTCATGTAGGAAAGCAAGGTCTTTTTTTAAGTAGAATTTAATCTATTTTATCTACTCTGATTTACACTTATATTTTCGGAAATAGAATATTTGAAACTGGACTCTGGTGCTAATTCCGTCTACTTCATGGTCAAAGTTAGAAGCAACTTACAAAAGTGACATATTTCTACGGCAAGATATATGGATATTATACCTACTTTTCTATTACCTAGGATCTGAATGGTTGGTTGAATGCATGTTTTACTTGTGCAATTTCAATTTTCCAAAGCTGCATAACAAAATTAAATTTTTAGCACTTTTGAAGGCAATAAATTACTCAGTATTGTAAGTTCTTGTTGCTTCCCCATTCTATATATCATTTTTGCAAGCAATACCAATACATGAAAGGTGATTGACTCAGTGTTTGCAAGGCATTAGAAATGGTCAATGCTTCCTTTGCACTTTAGGAGTGCTGTTTTAAATGTCATTAAAATAGTCTTTGAAAGACTTATATGATGCTAAGCGTGGTAATATAGTGAGAATGTTAAAAGAATAACTGTTTTTTGGACTTTTGAACTCTTAGCAGCAAACAGCTTAAGGTTTTGTATATCTAAAATGGTAATCTTTTACTTTTAAGAAGTGTTACGCTTAAGAAGCTTATTCATATGGAGAAACAATGCTAAATGGTCAAATATTTTACTGTTTTCTTTTTCTGATATTAATGTCTTTGTTTAGTGAGACGTGTGCTTTTGGTGTTTCTTGCCTCTAAGGCATTAAAACCAAAGATGTCCCTCACCTTCAACTACCTTGGGTTGAGTTAATGCACATCCAGTTTAATAATGCATTCAATAGTTAGTGCTCTTTAAGATTAAAATTGTGTATGTGTTGGTTAAAGACTATGAATGTGAATATTTGTGGAATAGTTCTTTTATTTGTTTGATCTAAATGGTTTGTTTCCTTTTACCTCCATAACAGCATCACAATACTTTTCTTTGCAAAAGAAGGAGAAGGTTGCATCCACCGGTGACCTTGATGAATCAAAATCAAATGAAACTCCATCATATGGTAACACAAACTCTCAGATAACTCAAGCAGTGTTTGAGAAGGAGAAAGGAGAGTTTCAGGTGACAAAGCAGTGTTTGAACCTGACTTGTATTATTTGTATAAGACAATGCCTCCACCATGCTTGTTTGGTTTTACTCCTAATTCTTAAATGGTTTTATCTTCTGAACATAATTGGATTCTCCTCTTCTCTTTGAATTACATCGTTCTTGTTCTGGTCAAAAATTGCTCATAACTCCATCCAACGTTAGGTCAGTTGCAACAAAGATCTTCAACTTAATAATTCAGCAACTTGGTACACCCTAGATTTATCAATTAGTGTCAATCCGAACTTTGTGTGATGTGATGAGATGAAGCAGATTTAGTTGCTGTGTTTTGAATACTACTATAACCATATGCGCATGACTTGTCTGATGAATAGTTTTAAATGTTTCTGTAACTTTTTCTTACTGATCTTTTTGTTTAAAATAGAAAATGATACTCCTATGTAATATTTTCTTTATAAAATATATTGAACCAAATCTACAGGAGAATATAACATTACTTTGCCACATTACCGATCAAAAGCCAAACAGAAACACAGAATTGCAAAGTACGAGGATGTTTACAACCTCTGATGAATCAGTATGCATAGGTTCAATTAAAGTTTCATCATTGAAGTGGTTCCTTCGTATTGAATTTGTTGTTGTAAATTTAATTCAGACAAATTTAGCTTGACATCAATCCTTAAAACTTATAAAAAGAAAAACCAAGCAGCACACACTTTATAAGGAGAATGGTAAAGTAAGGTCATTTATAAAGCATTTTGGAACTTTAAACACACAAAGCAGATACAATTTCTCACGCGACAATCACTGTAGTATGACATTTGATGCCCTTGATGCAATATTATTATTATTATTACTATTATTCTTTCTTTTTTGTCTATTTCGAGTTGTTACTTAATTTTCAATATTTGGAAAGAAGTAATTACACACTTTTCAGACATCTCAACGTTTATTCCTCGATCGTTGTCCGACTGTCTTTTTCAAAAAAAGAAATACAGTATAAAATTCACTAAAAATTAAACCAAATGTTGATTCTTAAAATATCGCTAATAAAATTCAGTATCCAGTGCAGACAGTCCTAAATTTAAAGATATTTAACTATAGATATCAACTGCCAAATCCAAGAGTACATGATCCCAAAAGCACAGTATATGGAGATCAACATGAGTGGTGCAAATGCAAACTTATCACCCAAAATTAGAGGGTGTAAAATTTGGCCCCATATCTCCACAACTACAAGACCTATCAGATAAATCCTCTCACTCCACCCAATAACAAAACCTTTCTTCTTCTTCACAGTTTCACCCCAACTATCTTCAGATCCAAATTCTTCAGCCTTTTTCTTTAAATTAGTACTTGGTGCTGTCGCTGTTTCAGCCCCAACATAAAATTGTGCTGAAAAGCCTGACCACATCAAAATGGAGTGTAGAAGCAGCAACAAAACTTTGATCGGATACTCTTGTGCCTCGAATAGTAGCGGAAAATTTGAATAGCAAGATACTGCACGTACACGTAATGTGTGAAATTTGAAAGAAAAAATACGAAAACAGCACTGAAAAAAATTATGCAACTTGCAAGTTTATTTCGTTACAAGCAATGATTTTGGCAAACATATATTGCCTCGTTAAAGGAACTAGACAGTATAACTGTTTATATAGATTTGCTTTTATCTTTTTTATTCTGCTTGGTTCATGTTGTGCAAGGTTGGAAGAGTTGCTTGATTATCTTAGATGTAGTTGGGTCACGAAAATACAAATCTCAGAAGTATAAACAAATATTTAGAATAAGTAGAGAGAAACAGAGAGAAACCGATTCTGAACTATTATTACTATTATTTGCAAAGAAAGAACCATGGGTTCTTTATATAAGCAGATAAGAGGAGAGGGTGAACACAACCTTGTAACACTAGAAACACCCAAACTATCATAACTAAACCAACCAAACTGACAGCAGTAACTAGCTATACGAATAGAGGCTTCTCAAATAGTAGAAGGTTAAGAATTACCAAATAAGAACACACAGAAACAAGGTCAAGAATTACGATCTTTCATAGGATGTACAAAGATTTTTGTGACAGTTTGAAATTGAACATAACAAGAAGAATAGTTGCTATAGACAACTTCATGGTGCATACCTAGCCCAACATGTTCACAAATGTGCATTTCTAGAAATAGAGTAGAACTTAAAGCAGAAAACTATCCAATGGCTCAGCTCACAGAAAGTCAGGGTTCTGGTTCTCATCCAGTGTAAGAACGAAGTCTACCCTAGAGGCTTGGCCTTTTGGCACCCACTGTTGAATAAACCTTGGGAGGGTCTACATAACAGTTAGTAAACTATCAGTCCAAGAGATGATATGACAGTATGAACCTGTTTGGATAAGCAAGCCGTTTCCATAAGCACTTAAAAGAAAACAAAATAAGAAGAAAAAATAAAATAAAGTAAACTTTCTCCATAAGCTAAAATTAATTTGTGCATAAATTAAAAATTTGATTTTGAAGAAACTAATGAGACAACTTTTATAAACTAGCTTATGGAGAAGTTATTTTCTTTTTCCCTCTTTTCTTTTCTTAGAAGTATTACTGATAAGTTATCCAAGTAGACCCTATCCCAGCTAAATAGAGACACACTCTGACTACAATTTGAGATCTAGGATCAGTTGGAAGAGAATTAAACTGATTTGAAATGAAATTTTCCAATTATTTTCAGCCTTCAAGTTTGTACTGAAAGCTAAGTTAAGAAATTCCTGAAATCCTCCAAAGGTTTAAATTCAAGACTACCACGACTTGGTAGGATAGGGGTTGAGATTAGAAGGAAGAAAATAGAAGAGAACTTTAAGAGGAAATTTGTGTTATTTGGATTGATGAAATTAACAAAGGAATGAAATAATATTTATGTTCTGTTGTTTGGTTATATGGAAAAATTAAAACAAGAACTATGTCGTAATAGTTAAAGACTTTTTTATTTTATCATTTACTTTAACATGTCCTGTGACAATTTATGAATCCTATGACACAATATCTGTTCACAGGCAAGAACCTCTTGACAAAGTACGCAGCCCCAGTCTGAACTGCTGTCCAGTCTCTCTTATTTGGGGTTTTCTTTTCTCACTTGGCTGGTGCTTCTGCTTTGCACAATTTCATCCCATTCTCAATTCACATCAACATGGAGAGGAAAGATGCTTCTGTGGGGCCCATAACATTTTGCATTCATCCCTCATGTTTCCCCATCCAAACACATCAAAGTTTGCATATCCCTCTGAGCTCACTCCCATTCTCTCCCAATCAAACTATCCTATCCAGACCCTATACAGTTCTACAGCCTGCAACAAATCACTGTTTCATACAAACATTGCTGTCTTCAGCAGGCAGATCCCAGAGTTTTGGATGGTAATTTGTACGAGGTTCAGTGACGATAGGGGACATAATAGAACCAATTCTCTAGCAATGAGTTAATATGACTATGTTCTTATTTATTCGAATTTTGAAGGTTCTCCGTTTCATTTTCTGATTCTAAAAATGTTTTCCTTTTTCTTTTTTCTTTTGATTAATTAGAAGGAGGAACAAGATATTTGAATCTAGAATCTGACAAATCTATACATGCTTAGGGCACAGATAACAATAGATGGAGCATTACTGACAGAAACCTATGCCAATAGAATAGAAAACGGCAATATTTGCAAGATTATTAGCAATTGCCCAACTATTGTGAAAAAAATTAGTGAAGTATTGTCTTCAATGGAACTTTATTTTTTTTTTTTTTTTTTTTCTATTTTTTTTATTTTTTTTTTTTTTTTTACACTTTTTTCATATTTTTTTTATATTTTTTTTTTTTTTTTTTTTATTTTTTTTTTTTTTTTTCTTTTTTTTTTTTAAAATATTAAATTAAAAAAAATATAAGCATTGGATGCAGGTGAACAAATAAATGAGCATTAAAATCATACCTATTGACAGCAAAAAGTAATGCCTTGCATCCTCCGGAGTTTGAGGTGCAACAATGGCAAGTGGAATTACAAAATGGAGAGATGCCTTCTCATGCACATGCCATCCGAAAAGAAAACCACAGGTATAAGCATAGGCTATCCATCTACTAATCATCTGTGGCTGTGGATTCTTCCAAGCCTTGAAAAGGCAAGGAGATAAGGCAAGAAGAACCATTATAAAGGTCCCATATGGTTTGATCTGCATTCTAATAAATAGAAAATATGAATGTTTTGACGATTTGAATAATAAGTAAAGCAGTATAAAGTTATATCATAATTTCAAATGACCAATTACCAGGCTAAGTTGCAGATTCAATTGAACAACAGAGCCTGCGAAATTGAATCAGCTAAACTAGAAGGACTCAAATGTAAAGCTAATATTATGCATTATCTCGTCAATTATAAATTTTCGCAGATATAATTTCCTGATGCCAAACAGGTGCTGATTTTAGGTTATCAACTTGTGGTTGCCAATTTTCCATATGAACAATCTATTCAAATTCTATATTTTTATTCTTAGACAATGGATAAGGACCAAGCAGTGAATCTATAACGTATTTTCAACAAGATTCTCAGAAAGTGAATTTAGGCCTAACTTAACCCTAAACATATCAAGCATGGGAATAAATAATCATGAGTCGGGTGACACGACATCCCAACACACTTCATCAGGATAGGCTCTAACACCATCTTAAAAAGTGGATTTAGACCTAGTCAACCCTATAGAACTGGTTTACAGAATGAGGTTTGCAGTCACTCATTATAATATGGTTATATCTATAGTTGATGTGAGATGTCCAACAAAGTTTCAAAGTGAATTTCTAATTTATCAGTGGTTAGGTCACATTGCATGATTACACAGGTTTCAAGAAATGATAAGACATTATCCTCCCTCCCTTTGTACTAATGAAATGCATACAGAAAATAAGGCATTTCAATAATTTGTTTTGGTATAGCCATATAAGCATGTGATCAGCTTAACCAAGGTCATAAAATCCCTATATGTTCTTTGTTGTTGTTTTCTTTTTATCTAATAGCAAACAAGCATATTCAAAGAATTAAAAACTCGCGAGTCTTACCTGAGGTAGTACAGAAAATGGTGAGGAATCCCCTACAAGACCAGCAGTGAACGAAGCTGCTGGCATCTGGATATTGAACCCAAGTTTTCTTAATATGAAAGCAAGCCCTTTATCTGACATAATATAGAATACCCAAAAATTTGGGGCCCAGTATGCATGGCAAAGCCCCCTGCCAAATGGAAACAATCGCCGAATGACTTGTTCTATCTACAATTTATAATTTGGACAAACGATAAGTACATCAAAATGCAAAGGGTGCAAATGAAACATCCTCACTTTTACACAGGAAAATGAAGTAATACAAGAATTTAACAGAAGGCAACTAAACTTGTTCCCACCCAGTTGGACATGCAAAGTTGGACATCCGTAATTGGACTATTCTATTGATATAGTAGTCGCATAATTGGTAGCATGAAAAGATTATAAAAATGAAAATAAATAAATAAATGCTCTTTGTACAACCTGATCAAAACTCAGTACATCTGAGTTGGAAGGTATGCATCACACCAAAACCTAAATATATATATAAAAACAAAAAGCTATCCTTTAAATATAATTTTCATGGCTATACCTAGCATCAAATTTTTGCTCCATTTAGTAAGTTGAAAGCAAAAAAAATATCAATTTACCATTCCATATTTCTGAAAAATTAACAAACACATAAAATTCTTAAACTTGTTGAACAAATAGTAATCAATTTCAAATTAGTTAAACACATTGATTTATCAGAAGCAAGGGGAAAACAGCATGACATATGGTGAACATAATGACAATATATAATTTCAATATATAAACGTTATATTTACCTGCCCAAGGTAGAAAAATGGTCCAAAAGCAGATGCAAACACTGCTGTAACCACTCCTCCCATAATCAAAAGTCGACTGAAGCCTCTTATCATTCCACCCCAAACATAGTGTCTCAACAAATAAATAAAATAGACTGGTGCTGCCACTGCAAATAAATGTTTAAAGCACAAGAGAACAGCAAAGATACATCCACCTAACAAATCCCTTCCTTCCTCCAAATATGAAAGTGATATCAACAAAATCCCAATGAGAAATCCATTGTACTGAAAATGCACATGGTCCACTATAAAAAGCACTGGTGACCAAATAATCAATGACCAGACCAACTTCTGCTTTTTTGAATCCAAATTTCGGGTAAGTCTGTAAACCCCGTAAATAAGAGACAAATCAGAAAGTANTAGGCCACATTGCATGATTACAGGTTTCAAGAAATGATAAGACATTATCCTCCCTCTCTTTGTACTAATGAAATGCATACAGTAATAAGGCATTTCAATAATTTGTTTAGGTATAGCCATATAAGCATGTGATCAGCTTAACCAAGGTCATAAAATCCCTATATGTTCTTTGTTGTTGTTTTCTTTTTATTTAATAGCAAACAAGCTTATTCAAAGAATTAAAAACTCACAAGTCTTACCTGAGGTAGTACAGAAAATGGTGAGGAATCCCCTACTAGACCAGCAGTGAATGAAGCTGCTGGCATCTGGATATTGAACCCAAGTTTTCTTAATATGAAAGCAAGCCCTTTATCTGACATAATATAGAATACCCAAAAATTTGGGGCCCAGTATGCATGGCAAAGCCCCCTGCCAAATGGAAACAATCGTCGAATGACTTGTTCTATCTACAATTTATAATTTGAACAAACGATAAGTACATCAAAATGCAAAGGGTGCAAATGAAATATCCTCACTTTTACACAGGAAAATTAAGTAATACAAGAACTTAACAGAAGGCTACTAAACTTGTTCCCACTTACTTGGACATGCAAAGTTGGTCATTCGTAATTGGATTATTCTATTTATGTAGTAGTCGCATAATTGGTAGCATGAAAAGATTATAATAATGAAAAAAAAATGCTCTTTATACAACCTGATCAAAACTCAGTACGTCTGAGTTAGAAGGTATGCATCACACCAAAACCTAAATATATATATATATATATATATATATAAACAAAATGCTATCCTTTAAATATAATTTTCATGGCTATACCAAGCATCCAATTTTTGCTCCATTTAATAAGTTGAAAGCAAAAAAAAATATCAATTTACCATTCCATATTTCTGAAAAATTAACAAACACATAAAATTCTTAAACTTGTTGAACAAATAGTAATCAATTTCAAATTAGTTAAACACATTGATTTATCAGAAGCAAGGGGAAAACAGCATGACATATGGTGAACATAATGACAATATATAATTTCAATATATAAACGTTATATTTACCTGCCCAAGGTAGAAAAATGGTCCAAAAGCAGATGCAAACACTGCTGTAACCACTCCTCCCATAATCAAAAGTCGACTGAAGCCTCTTATCATTCCACCCCAAACATAGTGTCTCAACAAATAAATAAAATAGACTGGTGCTGCCACTGCAAATAAATGTTTAAAGCACAAGAGAACAGCAAAGATACATCCACCTAACAAATCCCTTCCTTCCTCCAAATATGAAAGTGATATCAACAAAATCCCAATGAGAAATCCATTGTACTGAAAATGCACATGGTCCACTATAAAAAGCACTGGTGACCAAATAATCAATTACCAGACCAACTTCTGCTTTTTTTAATCCAAATTTCGTGTAAGTCTGTAAACCCCGTAAATAAGAGACAAATCAGAAAGTATTGCAGTAACTCTTTGGAAATAAACCACCTTGTTTGAGCTATAATTCAGGCCCTCTTGAAGGTGCACAATTTGGGGATCGATTAGGTGAGCAAAAATAGATAGAAAGCGTTCAAAATAGGCAAAGAATGGTGGGTAATCAAGGGTCCATGGACTTGTCTCATCAAAGTACCACTGGGAAAGAGGGAGAGAGTGGGTCAAAGCCAGCCAGTTGCGATGCACCTCAAAATCTGTACTACGGTAGGATGGGAAAAGTAGAACTTTAATGCAGGTAGCTACAAGAAAGAACCACCAGAGAGTTGTTTTGGGGCTATGAGAATGATGGACTTCTTTGAAGCTTAGTTTCTCTTTTCCCATGCCTGAAGTTGGGAATGCAAAATGGTAAGAGAAATATAGATGTTGTATTTAATGCAGAAACCAAACAATGCTGTTTTTTACTACTCAAATAGAACTTGTTCAGTTTTCAACCCAACATGGAGACTGCTAATGGAAATTGTGACCTTTAGAACTTCCTGCATGAAAGTAAGCACGGTCACTGAGAAAGCTTATGGGAGTACCGTTGACTGCCAGTATGATTGAAAGATGAACAAAGTATTTGCACAAAACTTTTAGGAATCTTTAGTCAACTTTGCCATGGACATATCTATTAGCAACAGGTACAGACTGATTATTAGATTTTGTAGCGTTTATAGAAGGTAAAACAATTGAAGTAGACATGGAAACAAATATACAATCCATGACAAGTGTTTATTCTTTCAAAAATAAGGACTATTATTAGAGAGAAGAAAAACAAAGAATTGGTAGGAAGTATAACAAATCCTCCATCCTGAAAATCTAATTTAGAAACTGAAATAACAACAAATACAATATTGGAGATGAAGATGCCTCCATAAAACTTCATGAGTGTACCACCAATTTGATATGCTCATAAATTTTATAGAGGCACAAATAAAATACCACCAATAGGCACAAATAAAATCATCCTGTCCAACAAATAGATCAAAAGGGCAAATAGGTTTCCTAGGAAATCTCAAACCATATTCACCATAGAAGTGTAAAACTTTCAGTGGATGATTTTAGCTTCCTTATCCTTAACAAAATCATAAAATGAAGTCATAGAAACATTTAAAAAGTGGTACAACCCGCCCAAAGTTCCACCAAGACAAGTAAACAAACTATTCCATACATAAGTAACTGAATGGAAATGTAAAAGCAAACAGGCCCTTATTTCTAAACTAGGTGTATATGCATAGGACATACCAGTGGAAGATGTGGTGGCATCAAACATTCGGACTCCAACTCTTCCAAAAGTTTTTTAAGCTTCCTACCTATTGCTACTCAATATAACAACCAAGAAGTAGTGTCGCCATCCTTAAATCATATGAACTTTGGATAATTTTCTTCTCCTAAATACCTACATTTATGGTAACCCCAATTTTTCAACCTCCACTTGACTTTCTCTGCGATTCAGGAAAAAAAAACTTCCCACCCCCCAATCGAGTAATTTCTGAAAATCCTTATATTACAAAGAAAGATGCTTAATTCACATATCCTAATTTTAGGTGTGCAGGCCTTAAATTTTGGATTAGAAGATAAAACAGTGGTAGCAAAGAAGATTGTGGTAATAATACATAGTTGAGGCTTAATGTAATGGAAGAAGATTGGAAGGATTATTTGGTTCTGGGAATTTGAAAAGAATGAAGAGGAGAAAAGAGAAGAGTATTAGTGTGGAATGTAAGGCTGACATTTAGAAGAAACTTCAAAGTCGTTGGTAGGTGTGTAGTGTGGAAATTCTTACACGAAAACATGCTACTATTTTATAATGGGTTTATGATTGAAGCTTGAAAATATAGATGAAAACAAAACAAAAGTTCAAGCAATAGATTGCAGGCTTCATTTTTTGTAGTTATATAACAAGCATCAACACAAATGGAATGCCAATGAGGATGAAAACCACGTCATCTCCAGTAATGGTGAAATCACTATGACACTGCAGGTGGATAAATAAATCAACAAAATAAGTGATGAAAGCAGAAAATGATGTCCATGATGGTGAAAGACGTGTTGGACCACAAAAGAAAGAAAACATCTACATTTACAAATGCAATCAACAACTCTGTTCAAAACTAAAATCACAATTATACCCTTAATGGCTGACAAGATTGAACAACTGAATGCTGATGATGTTTCTTCACAGGTACGTTCATACTTATTAATTTGATAGCACTTAACATACTTATTTATTTTCCCATTGCATATAACATGAAAACAAAGTCACTGGCCAACCAAACAAATCATCAATAGTTAATTTCCAATTGAGTCGTATATTAACCCTAAACTACATATAAATTTAGTTAGAGAATAATGCCAAAAATGATTCATTCATCTACTAAAAAAAAACTCTTTAAACATTTCCCTTTCATTGACCGAACAGAGCACAGACCACACAATTATCAACAGCAATTTCAAATCAAAAGGAATGTCTATAAATTCAAAGCAAAAACCTTCTAGTACACCATCGATGTCGGGGCAGAAGAGGGTTCAGAAGAGGGTTCAGAAAAATACCAGGTTGAAGAATTAAACCTGGCCGCGAGCTAGCTTGCGCACCTGGCCTAGCGACCACACTTTGCTGAACCTGGCCGGCGACCACACTTTGCTCAACCTAGCCGACGACCACACAGAACAGAATGCGAGTTGCTGTGAATGGAACGAAAGCACTGGACGAAACTGAAGTGAAAATCGGGGGTTGAGATTTGGGGGGAAATAGGAAGAGATATTTTGGAGCACGGGTCTGATGAAAGTTGGGAGCAAGGGTTTGTTGGTGAATAAGTTAAACTCCCGCTTAGGTTTTAGGAGAAAGGGAAAAAAAGGGGGAAATTTTTTGGAAAATATGAAGTTAAGTGGAAGCTTGAAACTTTTTAATTAGGGAGGTTATAAGCCTCTTAAAAGAAAAACTAAAACCCCTAGAATTTCTAGCAATCAGACAACTCGTTATAATGATTTTAAATAATGTTGATTTGCGGAGGGTTTAGCTTTTCAATCAATATGGAGAAACATCAAATGATGCACCCAGCATCATCCTACTAGAAACGTTCACTAAGTTTGGCAAATAGGAGACACTTCTCTCATACTTGACATCTTTCCTGCGAGAGGCTCCATCAACTCCACCAAAGGCTTGGTTAATGCAACGCTAGCGCAATCTTCCGGAAGTGCACGGTTATAGAAAAGGGAGGTTGAGTTCGTGTTTGTGTTTTCAGATCTTTTCTTGAAAACCACAAGGCCGAGTTCATTAACAAAACCAACATTCACCACAGAAGATGTGATCAATGAAGAGACCGATGATGAAGAAGAGGAACCAACAAGCAAGACCCCGATTCCACCGGGCTTAAGAATATAAAGTGTCGATAATTCAAGGTAAAATTGTAGCATAATTAAGGTGTGATGTGATTTCTTTTTAGGTATCAACACTCAATCAATCAATTGAATTGGATCTTTTATTTAGGCACATCACTCAAAGTCTATCATGTTCGACAGAATCAATTTTTATACCAACCATCCATTACCAAATAAAGATTTCAACTTATGTAGTCTGAGGTACAGTGGATGATGAGAAAGCAAAGACAAATCGTAAGAGAGAATTGTTCTCTTCGCACTTTCTCTTCATGGTACTACCAACTTGATACTGTGAAAGCCCAAACTTTGGACAAAGGACACACGTTCGTTGATGAAAGAAAGAATGGAGGGAGATAAAAAACGGAAAAGAATAATTTTGGAATCCACATAACCCTAAATCCTTTTCCACATCACTTTTTTACGTTAAAATTTAATTACAAATGAACCCATCTTATAAAAGGTTGGCAAACTAGGGTTGTTAATATATCTATCACCATCCCCTCTTCCTCCCCGCCGCCACTCATCCCTCTTCCTATCTTCCTCGATTAGCCCGGGTCCGCTGCCTTCTTCGTCCCCGCCGCCACCCATCCCTCGATTAGCTCTCTGGGGCTTCCTCATCGGCTCCCTCTTCGCTCCAACGTCAATGGCTTCTCCAGGTCTCACTCTCTCCTGCTATTAATAAATTCATAACTTTTATGTTTACTGATTTCTTTCTTCTTGTGGGAGCAGCGTTCTCCCATTTTCAGATTCAAGATGGATGTTCCTTCCGTTGCTCGACAAGCCTTCAAGCTTTCTGTTCTTGCTGCAACTTTTGATATCTTTTTCTGGTAGGACTTGATTCATCATTTGCATTGGGTTAGGTTTTCTCAAACTTATGATCTCTACATGTATGTTTGTTGATATGTCCATGAGAAAGTGATCCTGTGCATTGGGTTAGGTTTTCTCAAACTTATGATCTCTGGGTTAGGTTTTCTCAAACTTATGATCTCTACATGTTTGTTTGTTGATACTTTCATGGGAAAGTGATCCTGTGTGCTTATGGACTTTTCTATTTTAGGTTTTATTTGTACGGTTGACTTATGTTGATATTGCCCTGATATAGGGTACTCTAACATTTGTTTGGTAATATTTGCAGTATTATTTGTTCCTCATCAGTTTGTGTTTGATAGAAACACTAATGATAAGTTTGATGTCTTCTATTCTGCTAGTTTAACATTAGGCACACAATTATTCTACTCCACTGCTACTGTTCACCATTGCATATTGTAATAACTAATCTTGATTAAGAAACATATTTACTTATGTTCACCCTATTTATAAAAAAATATAAATAGATGTATAAAATATACAACATCGAACTGGCTTTTGGGGCCACTTTCTACAAGCATGAAATAATTTTCGTGTGATAAATATGGTTCAATTGAAAAATATTGATTCCATAAAATATGTGTGTCTTTAGTTTGATGTTGAGTCTCAAATCCGTATTTCAAATGTAAAAACAAAATGTTTAAAATAGTTTTAACTTAAATATAAATGATAAACTACATCATTGATCTCCAAGATGGCTGCAATTGTTTTTACTCACTATGTTTGATGGAAAGAGGGCTTAGAGTTGTTTCTTGGACAATATTAGGAATTAACATTATTGTTGTGGACATTCCAAAATCTCACATTCTTTAACCGTTAAAATCAAAAGTCTTTAAAAGTCCAAATCATTCATAAATACTTTTTTTTCAGTCTAACAATTTTGGCTTATTGCTGTTTTGACGAGATCACATAAAAAGAAAGATTAAGCTTTTAGGATTGCCTTTGATAGAAGAAAACGTAATGCTTTTAATAGTTACTACTTATGATTACATATATTATCTTTGTGCTTTGGCCTTTGTGCTTTTGACTACAGACTATGTTTTGACATAGAGCTAGTGAATCTGTATATAGTTAAAAGGGTAATACTCAATAAGTCTGATTCATTCCTATATAGTTAGTTTTGACATAGAGCTAGTGAATCTGTATATAGTTAAAAGGGTAATACTCAATAAGTCTGATTCATTCCTATATAGTTAATAAGGGTGAAAAAAGGAAGATGAGGAAGCTCTTTAGTTTGTGTCTTTTATCATGACCATATATACTCACAATGTCATTATAATGTTAGTTGTTTTCTTGTTAAAACTTTTACATTACCACCATATTTGCTAATCAATATTATTTCCTTTGAAAAGTTTTAATTATCTTTATTTTTTTTCTATTGTGATTTTGTGGAGTCACTCAATAATGTGTGTTTGTGTAGTTCATGAGCATGAGGAGGAAGAATGGGAGACTTGTGATTGCGGATTTGGCTTCGAAGATGTCAAGGTTGAAGGTGGTGGATCTTAAGGTTAATTGTTTCTTAAGGTGAGTTTTAATTTGTCATTTTCATTTACTAATCATCTTTTCAGGGTGATGGATCTTGGGGCTTCTTTTTGAATTCTGTATCTACACTATGCATCGCCTTATTCCCTTTTGTTTTTTAATCTCGATCCATCTGTTTTCATGGTTTCCAATCTTAAATCCATTCAATATCACTGAAATGGTAAAAAAGAAAGAAAATTACTTTGAACTAATATTTTCTGCTTCGTTAGAACCTGATGATGGTACTGCACATATTCTCACTTGCTTTACCAGTTTAATTGTTCATGGAAATTTTGCTTTATAAGCTAGTTACATGTTGCAGCAAGCTTTATTTTACTAAGTCATCATATATATATATATATATATATATATTATCATATAATTTATAAGTCTAGTTTATAAGGAAATCCAGTAGAATTCAATCATTGGGAGCCATTACTGAAGTTTCTAGCCTTGGCCTCAGCAACATGACTGATCACTTTGAATTCCTTCCATGTGACTCTATTAGAGGTTTGAGCACCAGGTCCAAAAGTTATTATACTTTCTATAGAATAGAGTCTTAAGACCATAAGTAGTGCCCTCCCACTCTAACCAGCCAGCTGGGTCAATTATATCACTCATATAACTTTCCATGCTAATAATTCTTGAATAATTCTTTCATGGCCTCCCTAAATATGTTTGGAATTTCTTCTTAACGCCTTCAAACTCGTGAGTGGCACCAATCCCAAAGTTTTGGATTACAATTCCACCATCTTTGTTATTTGTTCTTCTTTGAGCGGTTATGACGTTGTGTTGGCTTTTGAGAGGAATTCTCACTTGGATATCAAAGTCTTGTAATACCACTTGTGCCGTGTCACCAAAAATAAAATCTTGTGCCTCTAATAAGACACTTCACAAAAAANTAGTTTATAAGGAAATCCAGTAGAATTCAATCATTGGGAGCCATTACTGAAGTTTCTAGCCTTGGCCTCAGCAACATGACTGATCACTTTGAATTCCTTCCATGTGACTCTATTAGAGGTTTGAGCACCAGGTCCAAAAGTTATTATACTTTCTATAGAATAGAGTCTTAAGACCAGAAGTAGTGCCCTCCCACTCTAACCAGCCAGCTGGGTCAATTATATCACTCATATAACTTTCCATGCTAATAATTCTTGAATAATTCTTTCATGGCCTCCCTAAATATGTTTGGAATTTCTTCTTAACGCCTTCAAACTCGTGAGTGGCACCAATCCCAAAGTTTTGGATTACAATTCCACCATCTTTGTTATTTGTTCTTCTTTGAGCGGTTATGACGTTGTGTTGGCTTTTGAGAGGAATTCTCACTTGGATATCAAAGTCTTGTAATACCACTTGTGCCGTGTCACCAAAAATAAAATCTTGTGCCTCTAATAAGACACTTCACAAAAAAATGTATATCCTACATAACATATATAGTGTCATGATATTCCAACACCTTGTAAAATACAGAGAAAACCCGGTTAGCGTTAGGGCACTGACTTGTTTGGTTAAAGGTCTCACATACTACATTCTTCATAGTAACTTCTATTAAACTTAGCCATGAAGAATTCATTCTTAGTCTTGGTCACTTTATTTTTCATTGTCAATGTTAGTATTCCCCCAAAGTGGAGTCGGGATTTGTTGGAGGATGAAAAAGACTTGGAGGTCTTGAAATATGATAGGGCAACGACTTGTTTGTTTAAAGGTCCTGCTGTGTTTTGGAAAGTAATGTTACTCGCCAAAAGATGTGTAGTTTCAACAACTACAATTGCAGTGTTCAAGGTATTGAGATCATCAAAAACGGGCATGATGATCTCAATACCTTGAACACTGCAATTGTAGTTGTTGAAACTACACATCTTTTGGCGAGTAACATTACTTTCCAAAACACAGCAGGACCTTTAAACAAACAAGTCGTTGCCCTATCATACCTCAAGACCTCCAAGTTTTTTTCATCCTCCAACAGCCCTCGGCCCCACTTTGGGGAATACTAGCATTGACAATGAACAATAAGGTGATCAAGACTAAGAATGAATTTTTCATCTCTAGGTTTAATAGAGGTTACTTTTGAAGAATGTAGTACGTGAAACCTTTAAATAAACAAGTTGTTGCCCTAGCGCCAACAGGGTTTTCTCTTTATTTTACAACTGTGAGGTGTTGGGATATCAAGACACTTTATTATGCAGGGTATACATTTTTTTTTGTGAAGGGTTTTGAAGCCACAATAGATTTTATTTTTGGTGACATGACACAAGTGGTATTACAAGACTGTGATATCCAAGTGAGAATTCCTCTCACAAGCCAGCAGAAGGTCATAATCGCTCAAAGAAGAACAAATAACAAAGATGGTGGAATTGTAATCCAAAATTGTAGGACTGGTGTCACTCACGAGTTTGAAGGCGTCAAAAGGAAATTCCAAACATATTTAGGGAGGTCATGGAAGAATTATTCGAGAACTGTTATCATGGAAAGTTATATGAGTGATATAATTGATCCAACTGGCTGGTTAGAGTGGGAGGGCACTACTTCTGGTCTTAACACTTTATTCTATAGAAAGCATAAGAACTTTGGACATGATGCTCAAACCTCCAATAGAGTTACAAGGAAGGGATTCAAAGTGATCACTCATGTTGTTGAGGTCAAGCCTTTTACTGTTAGAAACTTCATTAATGGCTCCCAATAGTTGAATTCTACTGGATTTCCTTATAAACTAGACTTGTAAATTATATGATGTGTATATATATATGACGACTTAGTAAAATAAATCTACCCCATACGGTCTGTCGTCCAACCAACCAGGACTTCCTCCCAAGCTGTGCCCAGCGGTAATGATTCATTAAGTTCCTAATGCAGATTAAGTTGTGATTGGACCGTCATTAGGCCAGCGAAAGGTAAAAGTCCATCACAACCGGTATAAATAAAGGTTCCATGTATGAATTTAGGATCACGATGCACAATATATGCATTGCTTGTTGTGCTAACTGGTTACATTACTAACTTGAGCATCAGAGTGTCTTTGACAAGTAGCCACCCACACGGCTTGGACAAGGAGGAGGGAGAACGAACAACGTAACTTGGAGGATGGAGGACAACTAGGGAGCCCGTCTGGTCTTCAAGACAACCTGGAATGCTTTCAGTAAGGGATTTCAACTCTATACCCAAAACAGTGCAACTCCATCTTCTGAACATAGAAGCATTTCAAAGATGAAAACTCTTGAGTCTACTCCTACCATGTTGAATCTAAAAGAAGGAATGAACAGACTGAAAGCTAAGTTATCAAAATACTCGCTGCTGGTTTATCTCTGTCAAATAAAAACGATCTGGAATATAAGCAAGATGAAAGTCATCAAACTCCTCTTCCACAGGAAAAACTGTTTAGTTTAACTCTAGAGCGTAACAAGCGTAATGGTTTTATTGATAGCAATGGTTATGGAATTCGGTCTTCTGAAAATAATTGCAAGTCATGTAAAGACTTCGGACACCAAACTGGACGAGGAAAACTTAATTTTGATTTCAGCTGATGTTTCTTGCAATGATGAAAATCTTAAGACTGGAAATGGAAGCTTCTCCCTCGCAGATGCCTCATTTAACGAAGGTGGTAGATGTGAACCTGGCAGATGGAACGGTTGAGAAAGGGAAAGATGAAATACTGGTTTCAAGCCCTCCTATCCCAGAAGTAGCTACTCTGTTGCACTCCCTGCAAGACGCTTCCAAGGGTAACTTAGATGGTCAGGGTCACGATAACTGCTATCATTCAGTACTCGAAGTAGCTCAGAGCGGTCTTACCAAATCAGGTATTGTCATTTCCTCTGGGAAGAAAAGAAAGGGTGTTGAGGTGCTGGTCAATGAAGACAACATAGATAAAATAGGTAGAATTGACAGAAGTCCAGAGGTTCATACACGTGGGAATGGTGACGTACAGTTAGAGCAAACATATTCCTTGAGAAGAGAAAAAGAGAAGCTTGGAGATCAGACTTGGAATGATGAGGATCTTGTATGGCTACTGTTTTATGTTGTATTATATATAATTTCAGCTGTTTAGATTGGCCTCTCAACTTTTCAATTATATTGCTGATTCTTAAAAATTTCTTAGCCGGAACATAACAGTTGCTACCTCCCTTAGTTGATAAGCTAAATTTGAGATTGGTATGTTCTAATATATGGGCTAGAGTTAGGAAATGTTAGTGTTAAAAGAATTGTGGATATTGTTGCTTAGTACTACGTTTTGATTGCTCAAGTGAATTTGTCATAGCTGTTTATATAAACAATTTTCGGCCGCCCTCCCTCTCAATTTTTAGATTGGCAAGCTGGAAGATATTTTGATACATCTGCAGAAAGTTAAGAAGTTGGAGATTCTTTGTTCTGAAATTCAATCTCAGGTGTGTTAGATTAGATAATCAAATTGAATACACCTTTCTGGTTATATTATATATCATTAACAAGCTTATATTTTATAGTAATTAGAAAATATTACTTCCTTTAAAGACACTGACATTCATTTATGAACATGGTTCTTTTCTCTCCTTTTTTCCAGCACACAACTACTGACCCTCTAGCCATTCATAAAAAGAGGTATTTTCATGCTGTTTGACTAAGTTACACTATGGAATGTGAAATATGCTGTTTGATACGTTTGTGTTTTGGAACTGTTTTGGATATAATTGAAGTGAACTTGAAGTAATCCTTTGCAGAATTGTGGAAACAAGAATGTTGCTGTATGATATAGCGTATGATAAAGCAAAATTACAATTATTGAATGTGAAGCGTGACAGGTTACATGTATTCAATGTTACATGTTCGTATTTACTATTTAGCAATGTCTGCAGTTGGAGATATGAAATTCCTTGTACACAGAAAAAGTTACAACAGTTAAGCTCTGGGCTTCAAGAGTGTGATAAGATAAAATTAAATTTCAACATTCAAAGTTTTGTTCCCAGGGAAAATGTCAGGTACTATGATGTGTGTATGAAGTATTTATTTAAATTTAAATTGATCTGGAGGTGGGTACAGGGGACCATAAATTAAACGTGATTATTGGGAAATGTAATTGTATCTGTGGGTAGTCTGTCCATCGGGAATACATGACAAAAAGTTTGTCTGAAGTAGTCGTGGAGCTGAATAATTTAGACAAAAGTTGATACATACACATATTCAGCCATCCTAGTTACCAAATTTTCATGATATCTTGCAAATATTTTTTAACATCAAATTGAAGTTCACAGCACTTGCATATGCATAAGCGCTAACAAGGAATCTCCTTTGAACAAACTTCAGCAATTTAGTACACGATCAATCTGAATCTGTCCCTTACATACTAAAATAATTTATAACCAAATTATTTGTAAACATCTTTCAAGTATAATGATTAATCGTTGATAGCTGAGTAGTATAATTTCTAGTTACCAGAAATTAGATGACCAGAATTTAAAATTACTAAAATATTATCATTATTTATATTCAAATATTGATACTTTAAAGATACAAATAACACTGTCAGTAATCCAAGCCTTAAATAAGAATAAAAAATCAATTATGTTCTGTTCAATCCTAAGTTTTGTAGGATGCATGATATATTTTACTTTCCATTTATCTCCGGTTCTTGTTCATGCTGCAACTTGATCGTAAAAGGTTCAACGTATTGTACTATTTCATTTTAATTGGCAGGATTTTATTGTGCATTGCTAGCTTTCCTGTGGAGAAGTATTGGAAACGAGCATGATCTTGAAACTAGAACTGTCAAAATAGGTCATCTGGCTTGATCCGATCCGGTCAATCACGGATTGGTCATTTAGTGAGTTAATCCAGTCCGACTTATTTATCAGCAAGTCAGACAAATTCAAACCCGGCTCGACCCACCACGGGTTGGCTCACTTAGTTACAATTTTTTTAAATAAAAAAAATTACAAACTTTCTATAATTCAAATCTAAATAAATTTTATTTTCAAATTTCACTCTCAACATGGGTATTTAATTAATTTTGAAAATAAAGAACTTAAATAATTTTTTCAAGAAAAAAAAATAATAAATATTTTTTTATAAAATAAAATTAGGTAGGTGGGTTGGTAGGCCAACCCGGTCCATCACGGGTTCAATCCGCATGAACCGGGTTTAAATGAGTCGGGTTGAAATCTCACCTGTATAAAAAAAATACTATTTTTTCAAACTCAACCCGTGATGGACCATATTAACTAGCGGGTTGTGACCTATTTTGCCAGTTCTACTTGAAACCTTGGATTCAAGAGCAAAAGCCCCAAGTGAACTCTTATATGAACACTGCAAGATGGAAGGGGGGATCAAAGCTATACCAAGATCATGAAAGCTGTTTCTGATTATTTGCAGAAGAGAATGACTTCAAGTCTTTACTCCAGAATATGAAGGTCTTCTGACTTCAAATATGGCTCTTGTACACATACAAGATATATATCAATTTCTGAATCCTGATAACATCATCTTGTTTCTACTTTTTTCTCCCAGTTGTGGGAAATTGAAGATTTTGAGCGCACGGATGATTGTTGCAGGGTTGGTCTCAATTATTATGGTTATATAACCCAAAGGTAAGTCAATTGTGCTTTGTATCCTTATTTTGTAATTGGAGCCTAAGTATATCTTTTATGATATGACTAAATATGTCAGTTCCTGCTTATTTTGATGGAATGTAGGTTCACAGCAAATACTGGTCAATCTAACATAATATTATCAAATAGCTTGAATAATGTAACGATCGGAACGGTAATTGGTTGACTGTTTATCTGTTTTATTACAAAGTTCAATGTTCATACCAGTTTCTTTAATGTAACGTTTTTGTTTTTTTTTTTTTCAGAACTTCTCAAACTTGGATGCTTTTTCTGCATTTGTGTTTGTCTTAAATCCTCACGCAACCAACAAAAGGCAACGGTTCAAGCTGTATGGCACGAGAAACACAGGTTGATTACTTTATTTCTTATGATAATTTTCTTGTAGTAGGTTAATTTTATTTTTTATTTCATGTTTTCTGTCCTTTTGGAGAGATTACTACATTTATTGTTATTAATGAAGCTGATGGTTGTTAACAATTAACATTTTTATTTCGATATCTGATTCATATGGCCCTGGAAATTTACATTAATGTTGTGGATCAAGTATCGGAATATAGCAAATGATGAATTCTATTTTCCGTCATTCTGTTGTAATAATACGTAGATAAAAACTTCACTACTAAGAAATTTGCTAGATGTGGTGGAGAAGATTCAATCAGCTCGGATAGTGCTTAAAAACTTGGTCGAGGCAAAGTACTATTTTCATTCTAAATATGTTTCAAGATTCTCTTTGATTTTAAGGAGGGACAACACACACATAGATCAAACCCTCACATATTTGATTTTGGTACCAAGGTCTTCTACCAATAGAGGTATCTTATGTGTATATAAACACATATTTATCTCTTATTTTATCTGATGTAAGACTTTGTTTGTATCTAAATCTCAAATATATGATCCTTCTAGCTCTAGTGGGGAACAAAAGTCTCTGCCATCATTGCTTGTAGATGAGATAAGAACTGCAACCGAGAGTGAGAGTTGGCTACTCAATAATTATTAGGCTTTGTAGAAGTATTTCCCAGACAGTTCATGCTTGCAATAAAAGCAAATGATTGTGAATTTTCCCCTTCGTTGTTGCCAATTTTAGGTTTATTGTTTATTAGTTTCGTTTTCTATATCTTCATGCTGATTGAGACAATTGTTGTGTAGAATGTGAAATGTGAAACGTTATTAATTTTATTAAAGAACTTTGTTTAACTTATAATAGTTTTTATAAAGAAATGTTCCATTTATATCATGATTGTAGAATTACTTCCCATTATAACTTGACGTTCAAAAATAAACATGTGATACAGTATAAACGATAGAATACAAATAGTGTGAGTGCGAAAAATCGGGAAAGGAATTGAATCAAATCAATTGAGTGGTCACGAAAATGACTAAACTGAAATCCCTTCCTGACAGTGGAATACATTTCTGTATGATATGATATGATAGGTTACTTTCTTTTTATCAATGGCTTTATTACAGAGATTACGGGTGTGCTCAACATACGAGGTGAATCAGCACTACAGGGACCACTTTCTAATTTGAAAAGTTCATTGCAATCAATAGATATGTTGGTCTAAATTCATCTCATTCTGACCATTTTCTAGGCCTCGTCACTCATCTGATTCTGACAATAATTAAAACAGTGTTTTCCTCAAAATCGGAACCAACGAGTGCCACGGTTCTTCTGAGATAATACTATTCTACTGTGCTTAAATTGAGAATGCTTTGATGGGTGATACGTTGAAACAGGTTCAATTAGAAACTTTGTTTAATTAAAAAAAGTATTTAGTTAAAATTTTTAATGAAGTGTAAACTATGATCCTATGAAAAGATTTCATAAAGTTTACCTTTAGTGATTGTCGAGTTGTTAGTATAGATCAAAGGGGAATTTATATTAGAAAAAAATTTCAATGTTTAGTCACTAAAAGTTTATCACTTAGGTTGTGTTCTTTTGGGTAGATCTGGGAGAGATGATTCGGGGGAGATGATTTGAATGGATTTGAGTGGATTTGAGGGTAATTTTTTAGTTGTTATTTTGAGTGGATTTGTGGGTAATTAAGAGTGGATTTGGAAGTAAAGTTTGTGAGAATTAGTGTAGGATTTGATTGATGTGATAGATTTTAAAAATTATTTTAATTGGTAGAAATTTAAGATTACCAAAATGTCTCTAGTTATAAAAGTAATATAAAATGTTATATTTAATTATAAAAATGTTTATAAAGAAAAAAATTATGAATAATTTATAAAATTAATGTTTAAAAATTATAAAAATTAAATAATCAACTTATTTTTAATAAATTAGAAAATATAATATACCTAATTTTATTAAAATGTACATTTTTTAAATTATAATATTAAAATAATTATAAAAAAACTGAAAAATATATATTGCGTAACCGGTTACGCGTTTCGGTTACGCGGGTGCAAGCAAAATTCATTCTTCTATGTAACCGGTTATTTTTGGTTGATGTATGGAAGCAAAGATGGGTATATATGTCTTTTCCTCGTAAATCATCGCAAATCCTCTCACATTTGTGATATGAGCTGAACAGTGGAATCCCGCAAATTAGCGGATATCCATCTTACCAAATCCGTGCAAATCCATCAAAATGAACGACCTTGCTTTTGGAAATCCATCCGCGGTAATTCACGTGAATAGTCTTTTCCCTCCAAACGAACACCGCCTTAATTGTATCCAAGTTGTTCATATGTTTTATTACTTGTTTTGGTTATGGGATTAAGATTATCTATCTAATGTATGTTTTAGACATTTAAGTCTTTGTTTTTCTTACCGTTCATTGTAATTACTCGCTCAATCAATCTAGGAGATTATGTAAATATTCTAATGTTAAAGTTAGTAAAACTTGTATTTATAATTTTAAGAATGAGTTTTGAATTAATGACGATTTAATTGTAATTCAATTATTGATAACATTTTGTTCTAAGCTAATTAGTATTAATGATAATTTTATAGTAATTGGATCATTTGATCCATTAATGAGAGATAATGGTCCGATTTATCATATAAACATGACCGTAGGATCGTTTGGAACATTATTTTATTGATTCGATTTCAAGTATCTCTTATGAGTTCCAAATATCTCGGGTCAGTTAAGTATAAAAATGATTTGAGAAATTATAATTTCGTAAACCCAAATAAATTCCATAGAAGTTGTTCTACCTAACACTCATAGTGGATATCTAAACTGCACGCAGCATGATTGCATGCATGCTACATGTATTTCCCACAATACAACTTATCTAAAGTTTTCAAAGAGGCAAAAGATGGAATACATTACTTCTACGGAAGGAGTTCCAGCATTGCAGAGAATGATTTTAGTACATTGTTTTCATCAAACCCTTTTTTTCCCATTATCAAAAATTAAAACACTTCAAAATCTAGTTGTAACCCAAGAATAGTGCAAAACATAATAAAGTTATACCTATACCAGTTCAAGTGTAAAAAAAATATATTAAAAAGTGGGTTTAAAGTCTAACTCATCTCCACAAAATCAGTTTATAAGGTGAGATTTGCATCTCATTTATATATTATAAATTGGTCTTATCTCTAATCAATATAAGACTTCCAACAAAAAGGTTAGCAAAATGACTTACGTCATCAAAAAATGATCACGAAAAATAATGCAGTATATATACGTTGCTACTTGCTAGTGTTCTGTATTTGTTGATAATCTATGTTATGGTTACAGTGTTTTTATGCTTTCATGCTTTGTCTTTTTCTCAAGTGATATCCAACTTGTGTGCATTCCCTAATTAATGGAGGTATAAAGCAAGCTAAAGGTTGTTTAGTGCGCATGATATGTTAGAGACAGTACTCAAAGAGGGAAAAACATATGCAAAGGAGCATCTCTATAGCCTTTTTTTTCCTTGATTCATTTGCGTGTGCTATGAAGAACAGACTAAACAAATTCAGCCATTTCTGAGAAAGCAAAGAAGATGTCAAATTAACAATGATGATGGAAAAGGAGATTGATTTAGATTAGATTTTATGTTAGACATTGACCACAATCATTATAGTATGTTGTTTGATTTTTTGTCCTATAATTGCCCAATTTGTGATGGTCTTGTGCTTAGCATATATGTCCATTTTCAGTTTATCCTTAATACAATAAAGATTTAAACTTTTATGAAAACTACTTTACTTTAAGACGGTTCAAAATAAAATAAAAAAATTAAGATCTTTCTTAATACTTGAATTTTATATCTGCTTCAATATCATAAAATCAATCAGTAATATATTTATTATAATTTGATTATATCATTGTCTATGTTGGATTCTTAATATACGTGCATGTTGATAAATGAATATCTTAAATATAAGATTAGATATTTATGATTGATCAATAGTAAATAAACTCTTAATAAACTTAATTATGATACACTTTAAATGATTGATATAATCTTAATAATTGGATTTAAGTCTGACTTAATTTTAAGATAAAGTTGTACCGTACCGAGTTATATACTGGTTTTCCATATTATTTTAAGTTATTTCTAATAATTGATGGACGATATTAAATTGATTGATATCATTTTAAGTTTAATTTATTGACTTTATATTAACAAATTGTATTTTTTATTCAAAATTATTTCAATTTACCATATCAACTTTAATATATTTTTTTGTTAACAATAATTTAAATAAAAATAATATACAAATTATTATTTAAGAAATATATTTAAAATTTAATCCTATAAATCTCTTTTATAAATTTTCCTTTTATTTTTGAAATTTTAATTTTTTTTATCATTAACAAATTTAATTTTATTTTAATATAATTTTCACTACTTAAATTTAAATTTATATTAATTTTTTACACAAAGACAAATCAGTAATCATTTATTTTTATCCATTAATACTTTTTTTAAAATTTATCACATTCTCACATCATTTACAAATTCTCATAAACTTTCTCTTCAAATACTTTAATCCAAATAATATCATATTCTCATAATCTTCTCAATTTCATTCCCTTACTCTCTTGTATCCACTTCCTAATAAAAACACAATTGATAGAACATATTTTTATCATTTGCTTTATTTGGAAGACAACAAACAACATAATACAAAATTATAAAGTATATTCATTCAATGTTCTCTATTTCATAAATTAAAAAAGCACGAATTTTTTTTTTCTTATATTTGAGGCAGGAAGGAGCATATATTCAGTAATAATTATCTTAAAAAAAATTGTTTTATTACAGTAGACAGCCACCAACCATATGCGTTTATAGTCCAGAGATATTTATTTCCCTTTAGGTACAAGATACAAATTGCTGTGCTTTCAGTGGAATTTCTTACCAGAATAAATTCATTTTAAAAAAATTATCTGTGCTGCAACAAAAATATCTGGTTTAAAGGCACATGTCAAATTCTTAACTTTTAAGCTAATAATTCAAGCTTTTACTGAGTACTGAAAAGTTTATTTGACAAGCACCACAATAATTACTTTTTCCCTTTACACTTTATTCATTAAAATATTTTTTAGGACCATTGTATTTTAACAATTTTTTTTAATAATTTTTTTATAATAAGCTATATATTATTATTTTATTAGTTTATATGTTTAAAACAGTCAATCACACACTACCACATAAATTATTGTAAAATATTTGTAAAAAAAAGTTGTTAGAAAAATTACTTTCCTATCTTTTATTATGGTCAAGGACCAAAACACCATCTCATACATTGCCAGATAATGCAACAACATTCCTTAAAATAATGCAGAACTTGATAACACCCTATAATGCTTTATAGGCTCTCATTTTTTCCTCAGAGCTTCAGTTCAAGGCACCATGTCTGAGACACACTGATTTTCGTAGATATTATCACTTTTTTTTTGTAACTTGAAATATATATCATATAAAGATTGGTGGAGATTATAGCTGTGATTATTTATTGAGGAACTGAGAGAGCTTTTGGCAAAGGTTGATGAGTGTCAATTGGAATTGGAGTTGGCAGCAATTTGCAATCAACTGAGATTGTTTGAAGAGTATTATTGTTAATGGTGTTGTTTCCTTCTTCAATAGCTTTGTTGATGAGATTGAGTAGAACATGTTGAAGCTCTTTCCCATCTCTCCAACCATGCACCTCTGCCTTTATCTGATTGCAATTTTTTGAAACTAAATCACACAGTGGAAAGCCTGTTCTTGGCATCAAAAAGTCACTTTCTTT